CGTTTCCTTCTCGTTTTCACGGCCCCCTGTGTCAGGCAGTCGATACGCGTGCCATTTCCCGGCATGCTTGCGCGCCACGACAAGATGTCGGCCGTAACTCCGCGCGAAATGGCGCGCCACGGGTCTCGCGAGCCAGGTGTAGATCGGGGAGAAAAGTGATGGATATTGGAAGAATTCCTTTCGAGTATTTGCTCCGAAGATGTACAATCGGTCACGGGAGTGCTCGGACATGCGATTTAAATCTTCCTTTCGTTTCCTACCTACCTTTACTCTTCCATCGCGATCATAAATTTGTCGTATCCCGCATTATTGTACTGGGGATCGAGTGCATCGTGGTATAGAGATATTTTGTTGGTTATATGTCTGTCCAAAGAGGATAATAAATTTCACAGGAATTTATTAAGTATTAATTTCGAATAACTGATTGCATTTCGGATATATCGTAAAAATGGTGGTATTATATGTGAGAGGAGAGAAAATATTTTAGTGACATTTAATAATGGGAATTTATGGAAAGAGGACATTTCCGTTAGTTTAAGAATTTAGTATAATTTATTTATCTTGAGTTAGAGTATTGTGCTATATAGGAAATTTGGTCGAGTTTGCTCTGTATGAATATTTTTCTAATCGAGTATTAGCTTCGAGAATAGTCATTGCATCGTTGAGGATTGTACAGACTGTTGAGAGAGAGTACGAGTTTAAGAATTTACGAGAAAGAGTACGTGTCGAATTCGTCCAATTCTCGTGAGAGGGAAAATAAATTCTCGTTCCTCCATTTTGTCTTGATACGATACACTGCACTTTCTCCGAAATTATTTTCCAATCGATTCCCCTATTTACACTTTAATTTAATTTCGAATGAAATTCGATTAACAGTGAAAATATTAATTTAATCCTCCCCTGTCAGAGAAAATTGCAGAAATAAAAGTTTCCAAAATTATTTTCATAACGATTCTCTTATTTCCACTGTAATTTCCAACGAAAATTCTGCTATTAAACAAAATACATGAAAGGATAAATTCTACGATGCTTAATGGGATGAAAATCGACACCTTTAGCAGTGTAGATAAATGTAGATAATTTCTCCTATTGATTTCAATTAGGACCAGTAAATAATTCCAATTTCCGAGCTCGTCTTCATCGAGGTAGCTCGAAGCTTGCCACTTTAGGACCTCCAGCAAAATTACCAGTCGTGAACGTGCTAATGGTGCAGATATCTATTAAAAAGTCATAAGCTAGTCGTGAAACAAGGCATTATCGACAAGCTCTTGTTAAAAATGCGACAACTTAAACGAACAATCGATACTACCTTCTGGTGCATTTTTAGTCCCGGGTATTAACGATGGCTGCCATCGCGAGAATAGTGCAATGAAATCTAATTACTCGAAAATTCTCAGTTAGTAACAGGTTGAGAAATATCGCCTACAGGATGTTTAAAATAAGCCACTGCATATAACGTTCGAGGGAACCGGATGTCCTCTTTCGTTTCTGAATCTAACCTATAATTCTGGGAAAATCGATGACAATGTTCGTAGTTAAATGGAACCATAAATCTATATCGAGTATGGTTGTTCCTGTAGTGAAGGTTGATAAACTATTTCTCTTTTTGCTATAAAAATCTTCAAGGACCACGATGAATATGGAACACCATTTGTTAATATTTCAACGATAATGTCAGAATGCAATGAATGTTGAGTGATCTTCTTATTTATTATTCAACTTGATTTTTATAGTAATCACGTGGTACGAGATATTCAAATATTTATGTATTGAAATAATGTCGAGATACTTGGTATATTAGGATAAAAATTTTTTCGAAATTATTCTATACGATCTAAATATTTACTAAATTGTGGAATTAATTCTGCTCTTAATGATAATCCTATTGTAATTGATCTGAAAATTTTGTGTTATTTTAATTAGGAGTATTATTAATTAGATTGACAACTTGGAAAGTGTTATTTAAATGACTGCAATAAAATTCGTAATTGAGTAAAAATTTGTATCTGTGCAATAATAATCGAATAGAGAATCTTTTATTATAGTTCGATTCTCTTGAACGCAAAATTACGGTTTTTAGTTATTGCAATATCGATAACCTCGCCTCGACCCTTAACGAGATAACGCGCAAACATTTGTGCGCTTCACACGGGAGCATAATATTAATTTTCACGTCATTTCGATTTATTTCAATTTACTTTACGTCCATGAGTAGACATTTAATTATCCCGGCGAACGGTTCATTAACACACGTGCGCGGATTCGCAATAATAATAATTTCCTGTCAGCGATTTCGGCGCGTCTTATGCGCGATTCCATTGATTTGCGTAATAAATGCAAAGCATCGTACTCGATGAAGCAGCTGTTTAAACAGACCCCTAGCGGGGAGTCGTTTAATTATCATTAATTTATCACGACGCTTTTGACAGGCGCACTGCAGAATTATTTATTCCGATTCATCTCTCTATAGCGATACGATTATAACCGTGCATGCGAGCCATTTTGTTGAATGGCATTAAAATGGTTGCTTGCTGATCCGTGCGCATTGTCAGTGATATCCCATGGCTAATTAATATTATACGAATGTCGTTGTTTTAATCGAATTATCTTGCCTAGATTTTTAAATTTCTAAAATTTAGAATTAAAAACATTTTTCAAATTCAGTTTGCCTGAATTTTTTAGTCAACGATTGACGTTAAATACTTCTAATTCCTAGTCTTTTTATAAATCCTGGAAAATATGCATGGGGCCAAAATTCTTATAATTTATTACCTAAAGCAAAAAAGGTAATTGAAAAATGTTTAATCATGAGCAAGTTTTTAAATTGGATTGAATAATTTTGATTTTTTTAATCGAGAAAATACCCCATTTTATATTTCAAAAATTAAATGACATTTGGATATTTATCAAAATATTTATACAGGCAAATTCTTTATACAAATTTGTTATAATTGAGATTGTTAAATGTTTCCACTATTAATTATATTATTAATTATAAAAATTTGCAAGTTATAGATGAAAGAAAAATACAATTTAATTTCGTATATTAATTTTTAATCTTTTCTTTAGTACACTCAATATCCCTCTGAGTGTGCAGAAACTCTCAATAATCAAGGATTAATTAATAATAATAATTCCAATCTCTAAATAATTAAATAATTAAATATATACGATCAATCCTTGAGTTTTAAATGAAAATAATAGCGACACGATAGCTTTCGAGCATTATTTCGCCACACGTTTTAATATTCTATCATGGCCACTGGAAATCAAGCAAATCATTCAGATACTTGTATAACTTCCATAACTGCGTTTATCATTGATCGTGTAATTCATACTTACGGTTGTTCCGCAATTACGTGAAACTTTTTACGACGATCAGACCTCGAACTTACGACCATACTTAGCCTAGCCTCGCATACAATCTTCACTGTCTTACTCTCATGATTATTGAACGCCAACCTAGAACTGTATGATACATTTATAACGCAGACTTGGTCGTTTGACGTCAACGCCGATCGTTGTTTAGTTATATACCACTAACGCAAGAATATGTAACGTCGAGCATTTTAAAATATACAATTACGTCAGAATTCTCTATTCAGATGTGTTTTAATTACTATTACGTACACTGATAGCGTTCAATGACAAATAACGATACTGTTGGGAAATAGAAGAAAAATTAAATATATACGATCAATCCTTGAGTTTTAAATGAAAATAATAGCGACACGATAGCTTTCGAGCATTATTTCGCCACACGTTTTAATATTCTATCATGGCCACTGGAAATCAAGCAAATCATTCAGATACTTGTATAACTTCCATAACTGCGTTTATCATTGATCGTGTAATTCATACTTACGGTTGTTCCGCAATTACGTGAAACTTTTTACGACGATCAGACCTCGAACTTACGACCATACTTAGCCTAGCCTCGCATACAATCTTCACTGTCTTACTCTCATGATTATTGAACGCCAACCTAGAACTGTATGATACATTTATAACGCAGACTTGGTCGTTTGACGTCAACGCCGATCGTTGTTTAGTTATATACCACTAACGCAAGAATATGTAACGTCGAGCATTTTAAAATATACAATTACGTCAGAATTCTCTATTCAGATGTGTTTTAATTACTATTACGTACACTGATAGCGTTCAATGACAAATAACGATACCGTTGGGAAATAGAAGAAAAATAAAAAATTTTGCTCTAAATCACTATTAGGGTATTTATCATTATGTGCTTATTGTTAATGTTGGCTAGGTTAGGTATCTAATATTCTGTAACGATTTAAAAATTTATACAAAAATAGGGAAAAATTAAAAATTAAAAGAAATCAATAATTGTGATCATAATAGTAAATAAAAATAAAACTAGAGTGTGCAGACAATATATTAAAAATTAGTAGCTCGAAGATATAGGAGAAACTTCAATATTATTAGGTTAGGAAAAACTTTTATTAGCGTTGTTACCAAAAACACTGAAAATGAAAATTTTTCTCAGAAAAGGAAAATTTATCGAATAACCAATTGTGATTTATAATACCCAGCCATCCTACGAGCAATTGTTAATTTTAATTACTAAAATATAGTTTTGTGCTGATAAAGTAGATTAGCATTTACTTAGAAATCCATTCTAACCTAAATTAAATATCATCCTAAAATTTATATAATATTTTCTCATGAAAACTTAATAACACTCATCCAATTGTGGATAGACCCTTAGGTTCCAATATTTTTGGATCCAAATCTTCATCGAATTCGACTCACTTCTCACCAGCCAGACGAAACTTCCCTAGACCACTGTAATGTCTCTAGCCGTACACTTCGTTCTTAAAACTTCATCAACTTCCGTTTACATGGAAACAAGACTTGAACCCAATGCTAGACCAACGCAGTCTATTATTAGATTATTATTACTATCAGAAGATTACAAATAAACATTAGCCTGAAGATCCCTAGATATTATGCTAGTGCGAGAAATAGGAAGAAGAGGAACGGCCATTGAAAGAAACGCAGCACGGTTTCCATGGAACGATTATCTCGCGAGATGGAAGCTCGAAATCGATTGTGAAATACGTTCGTGGTTCGATTCGTGTGAAGGATAGAACCGCGTGTGTGCGATCTGTAATTACCACAGAGATCGGCGAATACTCGAGAAATGGTGTATCTAGGGGATTTAGTCGCCATTATGGAGGAACGTGACTTTGACAGGGACGCCATCGATCTGGACTCGCTGGAGTCCGAGGTAATGGAACTTTGGTTCGAAAAGTTCGTGTTTCGATGATCATAGAGAAGTATACTGGGTGTTCGAGCAATTTTGTGCCTATCAAAATTTTTTCGAACGAGTAAATTCGAATTTGTTGATTCGAATAGACGTTCGGTTGCGAAAGAGACAAGATGGTGACAGTAATTTCTTTACGAAAGGGACACAACCCTTTTTTTCTTCCCTTTTTATGTAAAACAAATAGTAAATTATGCATGCAATTCAATTTTAGTTTCTTTATTATTTCTTTATATTAATATTTATTACCGTAAAAACTATTTATTTTTATTTTTCGGTTTCAGTGGACAACTTTCCTATTATTCTACTTCTACTATTCTACTATTCTATAACTACTATTCTACTGTTATTTATTTGCTCGTAATTTATAATTATGTTAAATTTATTTTAAATTTACTTATGCTACCTACTTGTACCATACTATATATTCTGTTGCAAGTACAAAATATTTATAGTATAGTATTTCATTGCTTGAAATAACGAAGATATTCCAAACGAACAAAATTAATTGAATATCTTCTGCAATGTGCAATTGATATTGATTTTTATTAGAGAAACAATTAAAGCAGATTATAGAATATTGGAATTATATCAGATTTAAACAAAATATATCCTATTATGGAGTTAGTTATCGTACTTTTATTTAATACCATTAATTACGTGCAATATGAAGGTAATAATAATAATAATATCACTCGTGATTACACGATATTAAATAGAATATACATGTAACTAGAATCACTAATAATAGTGCCAGCTTTAATCACCTTACTTGAATAATGAATGCAGTGATAATACTCAGAATTTAATCTAGCTGTTAATTTCGAATTTCATTTCCCCCTATCTTCTGAAAAAATCCAACACCTACACGCGAAATATCTTTTCATCAAAAATTTATCTCATCGCGTTAGTTTGCCAAGAAACATTTCTAATAAAAATTCCACGTTCCATTCTCTGAAAAATTCGGATTACACGGAATACCGTTTCGAAAAAGATGCACGAAAGTAAAATCGAACAATAAAATTTGAGCTTCGTTATTTCTGTAAGTCAGATTTCATTTTGGCGAGGTGTAAACTGAAAGCATGCCACGTTATTGCAGGCTATACAATTGTCATCGTGTCCAAAACAGTTGGATCTCAGCAACGGGGGCCTGTCAAGGATTCCCGACAGTGCTGTAGCATTTCCGGCGATAGAAGAGGTCGTATTAAGCCAAAATCAACTTACGAACACGAACAACAATCTGACGCTGCTGCACAGGTACGAAGCTGACGTTCTAGATGGAAATACTCGTTGGTTTCAATTTCCAAATTACGGAATTCACCATCGAATTATTATTTTCCCTTCTCTTGACTCCGTGCATCTCCTAATAAGACAGAGACAGTAACAGATAAAGCGATAATATATTGATATTAATTTCAAAAATTTCGATAGGGTAATGAAAAATGGTAGTAGATAAAGAGATAGTGAAACAATTATCTTGTCAAAAAATTATAGCTATTATGTCAGGATTTTTGAAACACCGTTATAAGTTGTATTAGAAAAACGGATAATGAAAGAGAAAGTTTTATTACGGTATCCAGAGATAAAATTTTTATCCAGATAATAACAATAATAATAGGAAACAACGATTGTAACAATTGAAAAATTTTCGTTCAAATTACTTGGATTATTACATTTTCTATTTTCAGTTATACTAAATGATAAATACGTTTAATTCAATATGCAGAAAATGGTACGAAATTTCCAATATCAAAAGATTACTATTTTATTATACTAATACTACGGTTAATATTTGCTATTTTTCGTGTTAAATACTAAATTCGCTTACACGAAATTTCAGTACCCAAAAATGGAAAATTTCGTTCATATTAATACCACTATTCAAATTCCTATTTCCATTTATATTAAATATTAAATTTATTTTAATCGATATACCAATCATGGTACAAGCCAAATTTTCTATTTTCGATGATACTGAATATTTAATTTATTTGATCAAAGTTATTAAAATTTATTCAAGTCGAATTTGCTCGATTACGACAGTTAAGTTGATTAAATTTCTTTCTAACGAAGGTTCCCTAAACTTCATATCCTCCACCTGGAAAGCAACGAGCTGAGGAGAATACCACGGGAATTGCTGGAGCTCACGGGGTTGACCTACCTCAATCTCTCAGACAACAAAATCGAGAAAATTCCAGCCGACATAAGCCAGCTTATCAAGTATGTAGAGTCGATTTTATCAGATTTCGTGTGAGAAAATGGACCGCGTCTCCCTCGCAACTTGTTCTCCTGTTAAGCAATTATTCTTCGACGTGTTGAAGCGATAAACGATATTTAATATTAGCCAAACGATTTCAAAGAAATGAATATCTTCTAGAGTCACGAACAAGTTGAACAAAAGATTGCAGAAAAATGGATATTCCTGGAATTATGAAGAAATCAAATAATAAATTAAATACTAAAATAGGAGGGTAGTTGGAAATAAATTAATAATATTTTTTTATGATTCCATAAATCTAAATTTCATTTATAAAAAAATTTATTTAATGAAATTAATTCTGATGAAAATTGTGCAAAATGTAGATATCCAATTTGCATGTGAATATATTTATATATTGGATCTAAGTTCAATTTGTGCATAAATGCAGCAATATTTCGTGGAGATGTTGGCTAGAAATTTTTGATCATGGCAACAGAATATCCTTGAATTATTGCTTAAGTTTATGTATTATTCGCAGAGCTGGGGGTAAAGTGTCCCCTTTATTGCTGAAGTTTGGCGATACTATGAAACACTCGTAACTATTAATTCACAGTTGAATATTCCAGGACAATTTTGATATTCATTTCGATTAGGCCATTTGTTTAGGATTGTAATTAACCTAGTATACAACACAATTCTTTTATAAGCATTATCTAAATACATTTAAAATAATTATTTAACATAGGCACTAATTATTAATTACTGAGCATATTTCAAAAAATTTCCAATTTCTTATATATTGATTTGAAGGAACAAAGACTAACATTTTTACTAATATTTGTTCCAATGCAAGCATAAATATCAGTAATATTTTTATATCGAAAAATTTCCATTCGTTTTTCCTTTGATCTATCAATATTCAAGAAAAGAAATAGATATTCTTTGGATACAAGAATAATCGATATCTGGCGATATCTTTGAACAAAATATGTAATATTTGAGGAATTAGAATATACTACATTAAATATCGTTGAAGTTCAGAAAATTGATTTCTCGAGGTACATATCAGGACTATCGATAAATGCTGAACAGCGTGAAAGAAACTAAGAAATATGAGGTTTCTCGAACCACGATTTGACGTGAAATAGCATGGCCGGGTATTGAAGAATATTCCTGTTCAACGGGAAGAACGTTTCTCCAAAGAAATATTTTCAATCGTGTAGAAGAATCGTAATTCTAAGATATTTTTGACGTCCCCCTTTCCATATCGGACGTGATTGAAGAGTCACTTATCAGATAGAAAATTTTAACCGAATTTCCTGAAAAAAATCATATCGTTGAAATTACTATTAATCGTTAAACCTAACAAGATAGTAATAAAAATATTTACTTTAAATAGATCATAAAAATAATAATAAATAGAAAAATTTTTAATTTCATATTATAGTATCAAATAGTATTGTGATATTTTTTTAAATGAATGATATAATTTGTCAATTGAAAGTTTGAAATTTTTGTTTAATGATAATTTCAATAATAATAGTTTTGGAAGGTATTATAAATTTCAGTAGAATTAATCTGTGGAAATAAAAGCGTGTAAGAATAAATAATTACTATGGAAGTTAGAGTACTATCAATGTCTCAGAGTATAAAAATAAATGATAATGATACTCGTGAAGAACTGATAAAATTTTGAAACGGAAATGATACTTAATCGTTTGCTGGCGGTAAAAGGAGTTTGTATCTTTAGGTTCTAAGTTCGACGAAGTTGCCACTCTATTTTAGAAATACAAAGTAACACTTAATCATAAGGGATTAACAGCAGTCGTATCAACATCCATCATCAATGATTAGCAATATTCCAAGACTTTGAACATCTGATATCTGAAACAGCAAAGATCTGAAATCTTAAAATATTTAAAAATAAACCAATATCTGCAATTTTTAATTTCTTAAAAGGATCCATCCTCATCGATCTTCGTAAAAAAATTAAACAAAAGAAATTCAAGGTAGAAAAATGAATACAAAATACATTAAATTTACTTTAAAAAGAAAATGGCCTAAAATTACCTAAATTATTCGAATTTAATTTAAATTATTTAAAATTACCTAGGAAATCATCATTCAGTCATCGAACGACACTAAATATGATCTCTATTCGCAATTATTATCGTGAATACTTGAAACACTGAGAATAACTCGATTCATAGTAATCAGTGGAACGAAAGGCTACAGTATTCCTCGATGTATGATAAGTACGTCAATGCACGTGAGTTGTTCAATTTCCGGAGATGATCAAAGTTTATCTTGTCGTCGATCTGTCGATAAATCAACGCGGCTTTCCCAAGGTGATAACAGAAAAATATCCGTTAATTAATCGAACAAATCGCCGAGTCCGATATATTATTTGGCGATTTCCTTGCATCTGAAACGGCCTTACCTAGTCGACGGTGTGCTAATTAAGATAAATTGTCTAACCCCCATGGATAATTGGAGCTGACGGGGGTTAGGAATCGATATCGCGTGTCGAATGCCTTTTGCAATTGGGAGATCATTAATTCGAATGAAATATAGGAATGTCTGATGAAAAACATGGAAAATCAATTAGATCTTCTCTTGGATTTTTTAATAAGACATAGACATGATTTTAATTAACCACAATTTTGGTAATGTGGTTAAAGGCGTTCCTAACATTAAAATAAAAATAGAAAATATAATATTATGTTTCTCCTTTCATATAGAAAATCTAAAAGTTGTTGAATGATATTGTAAACAATTTTTATCTGTATAATCATAATTATATAATTAAAGAATTGTAAATAATTACAGAGCCTTATGAATAATTCTTTAACTATATGTGATATTAAAATTTAGTATTACTTAATTCTCTCTCGAATCTTCAAACTTTGATTTCAAATGAAAAATACATACATTCTACATGTAGATAAATGTAGACTGAATTTAGAAGAAGGTGTAGCTACAGTTTCGCGCTGTAACTAATACAATTCCTCTGCTTATTCTAGTCTAGTTATTCCACAGTCCTATTAACTTATATCGTGTAGGATTCTTATGCGATAAAGACACATCATTAAGATAACAAAGATTACATGCGCAACGAACTTGCACAAACTGCTACTTCGTGTTGTTTTGGTTGTAAGAGTTGCGTGTAGCAGAAGTATCTAGAAATTGAAACTTTGCTACTTATTGTTAGTTAGTTACGCAAGGCTATTACCGGCATGTAAAATCGCAAATTACTGTGTTTACAGCAGTAAGAACTTATTGATTTCTTGCATCTTCTTGGAAAAATTTCTCGAAATTTAAACTGGTTAATTTGAAGAAAGCAATTTTTATTATACCCTATTTTTCATTTATGATCCTTTCATATATACTTCCATCGTCATTAAAAGTAATTATCGTTAATTTTAGAATCTCTCTTGATTAAAAATTTTGTCTCCACTCAGTTAGTGCCATAGAGTGTTAAAATTTTAGTCTTTAATTCTCCAACACCCTGTATAAAAAGCAATAAATGTAGTACACGTAGTTGAAACAATAATTTCAATGAGTATAATATAATTTAAATGATAGCTACAATTCTGTCTATTATCCGTTTCCATTCGTTTATCCATAACTACGTGACCGTCGCTATCACCAATGGCAGAATGCAATGGACGAAGTTTTCTTACGAGTTATCGAAGTTGCGACTATCGAGTTTCCATTGTATACTACATACGACTCGTTCTTGAATAAACTCTAAAGTTAGCTGTGATATGAACGAATCGTTTCGCATTTAATAATTTCATCGAGAAATTAATCTACAAAAAGAAAAGAAAAGAAAAAGTTACATAACCTATATTCGATTATTACCTTGAATATTGAATTTCATTACCAATATATAGGAGTACTAAATAGTACACGTATAACAATTATTACAGAAGTCTAATCAAGGGTAACAATCCTAGATCGGACAACTTATGTATATCATACATATTCCCATCCACTATCGAAGATGACGTGGATAGACAAATCGTTGACGAATCAAGTCAATATTGTACCACCTGCGTCGCAGGCTAATTGTACACAAACGCTCGAAATCCTTCCCGAGCCAAGCAAAGATAAACGCGGAGAACGCGTAGGTTGGCTAATAAATCGCGTAAAGCGTCTCATCTGGATGGTCGATCGCAGGAGGCCCGTGTAATTAAGGCGGAGATTACGTAAAGTTTCTCGAAAAGTGCTTTCCAGCGACCGGAAACCTGGATGCCAAACGCTCGGTAAAACAAGGAACTACGGTGTGAGCACGAGCCTACTAACACGCATGCGCACCCCCACTGCTGCCGCACACGTGACTCGCGGCGAAAGAGAGAGAGAAAAAAACGTAGACGCATGCAAGAACGCATGTGTACGAGTGCGAGTGGCAAAAGGTAAGCCAACTTCGTTGGTGGAATGGAGTTGGGCAACACGCCCGACAGAAGTCGTACATCGGAGCGCAGTGGCGCAGAAACAACGGAGGAAGAAGAGCCGTGCCGCGAATTAATGCGAAACTTTCCAATAATCAGGTGGCCGAGGTGAGGGGCCGCATTTGCTTCTAGGCTGGCTGAAATGTGATACGGTATATGGAGAACGATTTGCATTAGGGATATGCGAGAATTTCCACTGCTGATATATGTAGACATTATCGGAAGCAGTATTAATTGTTAGAGGTTAGAATATGGTAAAAATAGAGCAAATAGAATTGATGTTAATCGTAAATGATAATTTATTATTCCCTCTGAGTAATATATTGTTAGAATAACGAAGTAAGTATAATTTTACCACTTCCTACGTTTATTAGATATTTTTAGTAATAAATTTATATAAAACAGTATATGCAGCTAGGAAACCTTCAAATCTATCACTGATGGAATGATAACAGGATATCACAATGCTACTGGAACAGAACAAGGAAGTTATAGGACACGTTTTATTGGTATAAAATAAAACATTAATTAAAATATTTCACAATTGCGATACTGTACGTATTCCA